AATAATAAAAAATGTTAAATTTTCTTACCTAGAATTTACACGTCATTAAAATTAAAAAATTCCAGTGATTTTGTGACAAGATAACGTGTCACATGTCACTTAACTGACAGAAAGATTATTTTGGTACCAAAAATAAAAGTTTAAAGATAATTTTAGTATTTTTTAAAATTGAGAGATAATTTTAGTGTCAAAGTGGAAAGTTGAGGGACAAAATGGTACTTAAACCGTTAAAATATTATACCTTCGAGATGAAAATATGGAGAGAAAACAAAATACATAATACCTTCAAGGTCAAATTAAAAATAAAAGAAACTGTTGTGCTGTGTGTAGCCCCTAATGCAAAACACGAACCCTTAAAAATTATAATACGTAATACACTGGTATTGCATCCTACCCCCGTGATCTACCTTCTCCATTCTTGTTTCTCAACTACTCATAAACAACCATGGCTGTAGGGTAGAATATAAGGCAGAGCTTGATCTCCAACTATAATCATAGCACTCAAAACTGCCTTCCAAATGGATCCTACGAAGGGTAAAGTTTGTGTCACAGGTGCTGCCGGCTACCTGGCTTCTTGGCTGATCAAGCGTCTCCTCCTGTCTGGCTATCTCGTCGTCGGAACAGTTCGTGATCTCGGTCAGTTCCTTCTCTGTTCTGTAGGAATATCACATTAACAACAATTCAACACCTCATTTGGGAGTAGCCCCGCTAGCCTAAAAACTCTTGGGTTAGTTTACACCATGTCACCGTGATATGAAATTATGAATTTTTGTTTGTACAGGAAATGAAAAGAAGTTAGCACATTTATGGAGGCTAGAAGGAGCCAAGGAGAGATTGAAACTAGTGAAGGCTGAGTTAATGGAGGAGGGAAGCTTTGACCAGGCAATCATGGGCTGTCATGGAGTCTTCCACACTGCTTCCCCTGTTTCGAAGCCCTCTTCTGACCCAAAGGCAAAGCATTTTTTTTTTTTTTGTCATTTTCTTTAATTTTACATGGAGTTTTGATATTGAATTCTCTCTTCTTATTTATTTATTTATTTGAATGTCAGGCAGAAATCTTGGAGCCAGCCTTGAAGGGGACATTGAACGTCCTGCGGTCGTGTAAGAAGAATCTGGCGCTGAAGCGAGTGGTTCTCACTTCGTCTTCTTCGACTGTTAGGATTAGAGATGATTTCGACCCAAAAGTCTATCTTGATGAGTCATCTTGGAGCTCCATTGAGCTATGCGAGAGGTTGCAGGTAACCTTCATTAACAGTGTCTCTCTTGCTTGTTGCAATGCAAAGAAAAAACAATGAAACTCTGTGGCAGTGAGAGGAGGGCGATGCTTTCATTCTCAATATAATTGGCTTCTTAGGTTTTATTTGGTTAAACAATTATCTAAGCTAATTTTCTGTTCAAAAATGAAAATTGGGTACATTTTAAAGGTTTGGTATGCTCTATCAAAGACCCTAGCCGAGAAGGTTGCTTGGGACTTCTGCATCGAGAACAAGATTGATCTGGTCACCATTCTACCTTCTTTTGTTATCGGACCTAGTCTGCCACCAGAATTATGTGCTACCGCATCCGACGTCCTTGCCTTGCTACAAGGTACATAACACATTTCCCTTCTCCTTCAAGATATGAAGGTTTCCTTCATCGTAAAAAATATATAGAGCTATGAAACAGGGGAAACAGTGCAATTCAAGTGGCATGGGAGGATGGGATATGTTCACATAGATGATGTTGCACAGTGTCACATCCTTGTTTATGAGCATGAAGCTGCTCAGGGGCGATACATCTGCAACTCAGCTGTGGTGGATAACAACGAATTGGTGTCATTGCTATCGGCTCGTTATCCATCTCTTCCCATCCCAAAGAGGTTCCTATTCTCAATCTAAATTCTCTACAGAGCTACGCAAAATTTTGTGTTTCACGGTGAAGGATTGCAATTCCTTTATTACACGGGTTTAATTAACTCAATCTCGGCATCTCACCTTGTGCCATCAAGAGTTTGTTCCCAGAAGAAAAATTTTCATGAGTAATTAAGAACGCTTCCCAAAGTGGGCTTCATTTTCTTGACAAAATTTAAAAAAGAGAACTTCGATCGAATTTCCCAGTTGATGATGATTCTAATAGCTAGAAAATTTCAGGTTTGAGCAATTAAACAGACTGTACTACGATTTTGATACGTCAAAGATAAGGAGCTTAGGGTTCAAGTTCAGGCCTATCCAAGAGATGTTTGATGATTGTATTACTTCACTCGTAGAGCAGGGCTATCTCTCTTCAGTCTAGCACATTCCCCAGCTACTTGGCGGAATGATGTTTTCCTGTTTACTAAGATCTGAAAATGTCGACTTATATTTATGGAAACTTTGGAAAGGCAAATAAGATGTAGTTTTCCTTTCTAATTAAGGAAAACACGATACTCATAAAGTCTTAATCTTATTTCAATTAGTGAAACCAAAATTGTTGAGCAAGAAGCTTACTTTGTCCTTGGATTCTTGAATGTGATGTGGGGCGAGAGACAGCCAAGCACCAGAAGCCCCATATTTGCCAGAAGCCACTTCTGGACACGTATCCACGCGGCCTGGACCGTTTGTGTGGCTGCAACGAATCCCACATCTGTGATGGTGCTTTGAATAACAGGGACATTTTCCGTCCAGACATGCTCCCAAAGATCACTACATTACAAGAACGTCATTGTTGTAGCAGTGTTACTGCTTTTTCATAAAGATAAGAGAATAGAAATAGGTAAGATCATTTATGCTTGAAGCAGATACAGAAACATTGAACCGTCCATATATTCTCAAGCAAGTTTCTTTTTATTGGGTCCATGATTACAGCAGTGACACTAAAAAGGAAACTTTTAGCTTGAAACATCATGGGCTGGGATCAAGTATACCTAATATTAAAAACACCTAAGACATGAATGGACTTCAAGAACTTAAAAGTCATATTCTTAGAGGCTTCAGTAGACATTAGATAACCCTTGGCTGTAAAACATAGAGAAGACTAATGTGTCATTCAACTTAGGGCAGTTAGGGAGAAGATTAAATGCCCATGCCCCTTGATTGGATGATGATGATTCAAATTTATGGAGGATAGAGCGTCAAACGTGGAAGCTAATAGAACCCCACCAGAATGCCGTGGTCCTGATAAACTTTTGCTTTCATATGATGGATTTTACACACAATTTTCAAAATGGACCGATCTAAAATTTAAAGTGAAAGCGAAATTTATCCTCAGACTGTCAGACAAAGCCACATTGGTGTCTAACAACCTCACAAAAAAGCAGTGAATCAATCCCCTTTTTTATGGTAATTTCTCCCTACGACTGAATGCAACCCGAAGATACAAGATGCCAGATAAACTAGAAGCAAATTAACGACCTCAATTTATCAGTACAAGACCAACTTCTGAAAACCCAAGGCCATGATAGAAAGCAATGGGACGTTGGAGTGTATATATATAGTATATAATATATAATTCAGTTGGGTAATTTTATTTGTGAACATTATCTTTCCCTGTGACTGTTTTCCTTCCTTTACAGCAGATCCAACAAAAATCCAGAAGACAAGGTTTAGAGATATGTGGGTTCATAAATACAACGAGCGAAGTTAAAGCTACAGAAAGAATAGAGAAGAACCAATACTCCATTCTCATCCAAAAAAACTCTGGAGGAATAATTTCATCTCCCCAGGTCATTAATTTCTACCACATATTTGTTTTCATCAATTATCCTCCTCTTTAATTTCAATTACACTGTAACAAGTAGAACCTTCATAATTCGTTGCAGAGAAGAAATTTTCACTTGTTTTCTTGTCGTAGCTTGAATTTTGTTAGGCAGGAGTTACGAATTTTCATTAAGAGTAAAACCGAATCAATGAAAAAGGATAGTTGTAAATTTCATCTCATACTCATGAAATAAATTACTTTGTTTGGAAGATGCAGACTTACTCGGATTCAGAAATTGGAAAATGGAGAAATCAAAGGCAGTTTTTAAGTCGTCAGGAACAGGGAACAATCGGAGATCGCTAGAAGTTTTTCAACCAAAAGATAGTGCTGAAGAATTTGCAAGTACACAGGACATAGTGGTCGGAGAAGGATCATCATCATCGATGATTTCAACAGCGAATAGGGAAGCAGTCGCGGTGAACAAATGGATGGCATTCGGAGGAGATACCGGAAGAGGCTTGAAAATCGCCAGCTTTGACGAATCCATAAAAAGCCTAAATGCGACAGGCGAGTCAGGGAAAGAATCTTCAGATAAAATCCTGACCGGAGCCAGCATCGCGGAGAGAACCGCTGAATGGGGGTTGGTGGTGAAGTCGGATGTCGGTGAAGGCACCTTCAAGGCGATTAGCAGGAAGACCGAGGGAGATGGAGAGGGAGAAGGGAGGAAGAATTCGTGGGTGGAGTCGGCGAGGACGTCGGAGGAGTCAAATTTGAGAGAATCGGGAGCATTCCCTAGGGTGTCGCAGGAGCTGAAGGCGGCTCTGGCGACGCTGCAGCAGACGTTCGTGGTGTCCGATGCGACGAAACCGGATTGCCCGATAATGTATGCGAGTAGCGGGTTTTTTAGCATGACTGGTTATTCTTCCAAGGAAGTCATTGGAAGAAACTGGTAACCATCTTTTCCTTTTCCACCGCTCCTTTTTCCATTTTCCACTATTTATTTTTTTATTGAGTTTAAAAAAATAATTAAATCTTTTTATTTATTTAAAATTTTTTATATTACATATATTTATTTATTTAATAATATATAAAAATTATATAAAAAATTATAAAAAAATTATCTCTACACCCAAATTACATAAACAAATTCTTAATTTTTAAGAAGATAGGGAGGAGTATTGTTTTGCTTTATATCATCTAAAACTATTATTTTATTCTTTTTATTCTTAGTGCTAGTTTAAAACCCCTTGAATCATAGATTCAATCCAAGGAATCTCTATGTACCAAAAGAAAAAAAAAATTCCAAGGAATCTCTATCCCTCTAAAACATAAATATGTAGTAGTTGCCCCTATACCTATTTTTTTGAAAAAATATATAGTAGATTTTTATGTTTTTTTGCCGACAACCATTTTAATTTAGTTATTACGTGTCTTTTTGTTATCATGGATTTTTATAAAAACATTTAATAAAGAATTAATATAATAGTAGTTATAAAAAATTTAAAATTGTTAAAATTTACTTAATGTATAAATTTAAATGTTTGATAATAAAAAGCTTTGTTTTTAAAGCTACATATATGCAAACTACTTAAATAGTTTAAAAGTATAATTTTAAATTCGAGTTGTATAATATGTAAGTAAAATGCGTTAAGAAATGAACAATAGTTATCTTAACCCAAGATTAAAAATAAAAAAGTGTGAGATATACAATTTCATTTGCATTTTCTTTCCAAGCAATTAAATGTGGTCTGACTAATTAATTTTATAGGTTGGATGAAAACATCATTTACTAATTTTAAAAGTTGAGCTAAGCTAAATTTATTTTGATTGCAGATCAAAGTTGCAAAAGTTCGTAAGTTTTAATTCGGTAGGCTCAGGCAAAAACAAATATTTCAAAATTAAATCAAACTAATTATTCAATTAGTTATCACATTTCTTTGGCTAAAATATGAATTGAAGCCCTCACCTTAACAAGTTTAAAGTTTTTAGTCTCTTATTTTACACTATAAAACTTCTAGCCCTTGAACTTAATGATTTGAAAATTTTAGTGTCTAAACTAATGGAATCCGTTAACTTTTCATTAAAATGAAAATAAGATATTAATAAGATCAATTTTCAAAAATTTAAAACGTAACAATGTAGTTTCAAATGTTTAAAAATTTTAAAAATTAATAAATTAAAAATAATTAGTGAATAATTTTGTCACATACACTATAATAATATTAGATATCTACAATCAAATTGAGTGATTATCTCAATTTAGAGAAAGAAATATAACTAAAATTTAAAAAAAAAAAATTCTTGATTGTATTCTTTTAATCTCTTGAACTTTTTATTTTAACTACATTAAGAAATCTTTTTTTTTTAATTTCAATCAACATTTTTTGAAGATTGAGCTAATAACGCGATTTGATTATAAATATCTAATACTATTCTAAAGTAT